GCACTCCAGCCTGGGCAACCTGTCTCAGATAAATAAATAAATAAATAAATAAATAATACTTCAAACAGCCCTACTGCTTAACTACCCACACTCTAAGCAATAATGTAATGAGAAGTCTTGACATGAAATCTGAATGTTCTAAACATGAAAACTATTGGGAAAAAAAACCCACAATATTTTAAACCACCTTCAATTATACCTACCGTGTCTGTAGAAGAATTGAATAACTACTTTGCATTTATCAGATCTGGTGAATATTTTGCACTTCTCTATATTTCTTTCAAGGGAATTCAGACATCTAAAGATAGGCAAAATTGACTGTAACACAAATATACATATTAAGCACATACTTAACATGGACAATTCATTTTAAAAACAAAACCATATGCATTCATAAATGAACAGAGTTGGCCAGGCGTGGTGGCTCATGGCTGTAATCCCAGCATGTTGGGAGGACAAAGTGGGCAGATCACATGAGGTCAGGAGTTCAAGACCAGCTTGGCCAACATCGTGAAACCCCATCTCTACTAAAAATACAAAAATTAACTGAGCATGGTGGTGAATGCCTGTAATCCCAGCTACATGGGAGGCTGAGGCACAAGATCACTTGAAACCAGGAGGTAGAGGTTGCAGTGCCAAGATTACACCACTGCACTCTAGCCTGGGTAACAAAGCAAGACTTTGTCTCTAAATAAATAAATAAAAATAATAAATGAACAGACTTGTCCTGAATACCATTTAAGCTATTAGGTATAGAATATAGGTTATGTCCTATATAATGAATATTTCTACAGAATAAGAGAAAACCAGAGCCACTTATATTTACCTTCATTCCCAACTTGCATTTTAAATTCAATGTTGTGTCATGTTCATTTTCATTCATTTTCACTAAAGTTGACCATTGATAATGTTGAAAAAACACAGGAGAGAACAGAACACATCCATATGCCGACCGAGAAGAATTCACAGATCTTAGAGCAAGCTAGAAAAATAAGATAAAAACTATTTAGAAGAGGCTGGGCATGGTGGCTCCCATGAACCTGTAATCTGAGCACTTTGGGAATCCAAGGCAGGAGGATGACTTGAAGCCAGGAGTCTGAGACCAGCCTGGGCAACATAACAAGACCCTACCTCTATTTTTTTATTTAAAAAAAAATTAGGGGAAAATAAACTTTCTTAATAGTTTGATTCAGGAAACTTCATTATGTTTAACAGTTAAATGTGTTCAAATAGGAACAAAGGATGTTAATTATGGACTGCCCTATACAGGCTAAATTGAATTTGCATATGTATATACATATGTGTACACATCTATTATATTGAATACATACGTTTGTTAAATCTGAAAGTTTGCATGTTGAAAACATAAAACAGTAAATGCCTACAGGGGCCTTAACATTCTTTTAATTTCCTTTTTACTTTTTTTTTTTAAACAGCCTGTTAGCCAGGCTGGAGTACAGTGGTACCATCACAGCTCACTACAGCCTCCAAACACCTTACCTCAATGGATCTTCCCTTCTCAGCCTCCCAAGTAGCTAGGATTACAGGCACACAACACCTCACCCGACTAACTTTTTAAATTTTTTTGTAGAGACAGGTAGGGTCTTGTTTTGTTGCTCAGGCTGGTCTCAAACTCCTGGGCTCAAGTGATCCTCCCGTCTCAGCCTCCCAAAGTGCTGGGATTACATTTGTGAACTACCACACCCAGCCATGGGCCTTAAATCTAATGTGTGAAATGGCAGAAGGCAATATATAAGGGAGTTACAACATATTGGTGGTCTCACACCATATCTAAGGGGGGAAGCCATTACTCAGTTTCAGCCAGCTACTTCTACTTGGGAATGAATGCAGGCCCAAAACTGTCAGGTCTTCTGAATTTTCAAGAGAAGCAGGAAAAATTGGACTCTCAATTTTAAATGTTAGAAATTATTTCAAATTGAAAAAAACAACACAGTGCAGCCCAATAAAACATTCCTGCAGACCATATCTAGTCTCTTGACTACCAGTTTGTGACTTCTGGTTTAAATGAATTAGGTTTATCAGCATATTTTCACTTTACTTTGCTCTAAATGTATTCAGATATGTAAAATAAACAGTGAAGGGGATAATTATAATTTCTAGATTTCCTAGTTAACATTCAGTCTGGACTGGGATCTTTAAACATCTCCTCTTGCCTCAATACATGGTCTATTAACTTTCTTACTTACACCTTTTTTAGATGGATCTAGCCATAGCTGGTCACTAATTCGTGATAGAGCTTGAACTGCTTTCCCAAATACTATGGAGAAAAAGAAAGGTGATGATTATATTCTTTCCTTCTCACAACAAATCGCAAAACTAGTTCAGCATTCAAAGGACTCGAGATAAATTCATAAAGAACAGTATCTTATAGACTCACTACATCACTTTAATACAGTACAACACCCTTGGCAAAATACCAGACATATTATAAGGGCTCAATAAATTTGCAGAGTGTCAAAAATGATAAAACTGACTGAAATTCTTCCTTCTATATGTTTACAGTGTTGCATGGAGTTACTGTGGCAAGCCAACTTCCATACTAATATATTTTACAACTTGATTTAGATAAATGTATTTGACTCCCCCAAAACTGTGAAAAGAGTACATGAAGATGATTTGAAGTGGTTACAATAGCTCGATAGACAGCGAGGTCACCACAAATAATGAGAGAGAAATTACGGGTATTCAACATTCATCTCTGATGTTTTAGGGTAGCCAGACTTCCTCATACACTAGTCTGATCCCGTAGGACACTGTTTATGTTCTTTTTGGTTTTTTTTGAGACGGAGTCTTGCTCTGTCACCAGGCTGCAGTGCAATGGCGCAATCTCGAGAAGCCTAAGCCAGACCGAGAGCCACCTCCTCTCCCAGTGTCATCCCTGGAGGGAGAATGCCTGCTGTTCTACCAACACCAGCCAGGAAGCCCACAAGGATATTTCCTACCTATATAACTTCAACTGGAACCACTGCGGAGAGATGGCACCTGCCTACAAACGGCATTTCATCCAGGACACCTGCCTCTATGAGTGTTCCCCCAACTTGGAGCCCTAGATTCAGCAGGTGGATCAGAGCTGGCGTAAAGAGCGGGTACTGGACGTACCCCTGTGCAAAGAGGACTGTGAACAATGGTGGAAAGATTGTGGTACCTCCTACACCTGCAAGAGCAACTGGCACAAGGGCTGGAATTGGACCTCAGGGTCTAACAAGTGCCCAGTGGAAGCTGCCTGCCTACCTTTCCATTTCTACTTCCCCACACCCACTGCTCTGTGCAATGAAATCTGGAGTCACTCCTTCAAGGTCAGCAACTACAGGCGAGGGAGTGGCCGCTGCATCCAGATGTGATTCGACCCGGCCCAGGGCAACCCCAACAAGGAGGTGGCGAGGTTCTATGCTGCAGCCATGAGTGGGGTTGGGCCCTGGGCGGCCTGTCCTGTCCTCCTCAGCCTGGGCCTGCTCTGGCTGCTCAGCTGACCTCTCCGTTTACCTTCTGATACCTGTACATCCCTGGGCTGTTCAGCCCCACAGCTCCCAACTGATTGGTTTCTGCTCCATGGTTGGGCCTCTGACAGCTACTTTGAATAAACCAGACACCGTCCCCCCCCCCCCCCCCCCCCCCCCAAAATGGCGCAATCTCGGCTAACTGCAACCTCCGCCTCCTGTTTCAAGCATCAGCCTACCGAGTAGCTGGGAAAAGCATGCACCGCCACGCCCGGCTAATTTTTTTTGTGTGTATTTTTTTTTTTAGTAGAGACGGAATTGCCCATGTTGGCCAGGATGGTTTTGATCTCTTGACCTCATGATCCGCCCGCCTCGGCCTCGCAAGTGCTGAGATTTTAGCCGTGAGGTTTTTGTGTGTGCGTGTTTTTTTTTTTTTTTTTTAATTTGAGACAGTCTCTCTGACACCCATGCTGAGTGCAGTGGCACGAGCTCAGCTCACTGCAGCCTCGACCTCCCTGGCTCAAGCGGATCCTCTCGCCCCAGTCTCCTTAGCAGCTGGGATTACAGGCACCCACCACTGCGCCCGGCTAACTTTTGTATTTTTAGCAGAGAGGCGGGGTTCGTCATGTTGGCCAGGCTGGTCTCGAACTCCTGACCTCAGGTGATTCATCCGCCTTGGCCTCCCAAAGTGCTGAGATTCCAGGCGTGAGCCACTACGCCCGGCCAAACTTCCATTTTGAACGCGCCATGTACAATACTAATAGTTCTTGTCCATTCCATCTATCACAGGGCACTTTACATGCATTTCCATTTCATTACTTCCAAACAAACTGTGACAAAGGGGCGGTCATTACCCCCACTTCCGTTTTGGAAACTAAGCCAAAAAGAAATTTAGTGACTTTTCCAAAAATGGTAGAATTTGGAAAAAAAAAAAAAAAAAAACAGGTAAAGCTTTTCTCTCGGCACAAAAATACTTTACTGTCCAAGCATTATTTTTTTCTCCCAACTCCTCCCCATGCAGTCCTCAGCATCCTGAGTTTGTGTCCCGATGGTCCAACCGTATTTTCTGGACACCACCCATATTACATCTGCGTTTAAGTAACGGGAGATGGGCCCTCATCCTCCCCTTAAAAACTAACAGGACCTTGAGTGAGTGGGGCTGTGGCCAGGGCACGCGTCCTCAGTCCTTGTGCATAAAGGCAAAGAGGAAAAATTAGACGATGGTAGGGACGACCTATTAACGTCTGCTTTTCTCTCTGCTACATGGGAGGACAACAAACGCCCCTCCAACCTTTCGCTTGACTGCCGCTCATCACGCATTTCAGCATGGCTGCCAACCGTTCTAAAAACCAGGCTCGGAAGGCGCGCCTCAGCTCGACGACCCAGGTGCCCGGATGCGGCCCGCGCTTTTCAAAGCTTCGCGATCTAGTCTTTCCACCTTACCACCCCGCCTCCACGAGTTCCCAAAGCGCAGGTTCGCTTTACGGCGGGGAAGAGCCCTTACGAGCCCCCGTACGTCAGTTTCTGTCGACCTCTGCTCTCATTGGTTGCGGGCGAAGTGGGCGGGTCGTCGAAGAGCCTGAGGAAGAGGGCGGCGGCGGTTGTGGTGACTGAGCGGAGCCTGGTGACAGGATGGTGAGGGTTGTAGCTGCGGCGACCGAGGCTTGGTCCTCGGCTGGAGTGCTGCGTTGTTGGGAGCTGCGGGTAGTCCCAGGGCGAGGGATTGGGAGATCCCGGAGGCCTCGGCGGCAGGGTCGAGGCGCTGGCCTGTGGAAGGCCCAGGAAGTGGGCTAGGGAAGGAAGGGAACGGTCACCTCTGGGTGCGGCCGGCCTAGGTCTCGTATGCCGGCCCCAAGGGGCCAGAGGCCATCCAAGGGGTAAAAAGGTCCCTCTAAGCTGCCCGACATGTCACGAGACCCGCACGCCGGAGCCAGGGAAGGCCTTTGGTCCCATACCTCGAGCATTCCGGGGATAGGGGCACCGTCCTCCTCCGTTTCCAGTGGTTTCCTACTCCTTTCCCGCAAAAAGTACCTCCCACTTGCTGGGGTGTAGTGGTTACCACCCACCATGTGGCAGAACCTGGCCTCTCGGATGCAGAACGGGAAGTAGCGAGCAGAATTCCTTACCCGTTTAAGTTTGCCATGTAGGGAAAGGGAATAAACGACTCTCTTCGCCTCTGAAATAATATGCAGCTGCCATTGAAAGGAGCAGGTGTGCTCTCAGAGGGCGGAATTTGGCGCTTGCAATTGCTGGAACTACTTTCCACGGGTTGCTACACCCCTTTAGGGTAGGATTCCTTAATGATCTGTGAAATTGAAATTGTTGGGAAATTTTTGTGAATATACACATTTTTCTGGAGGGAGTGCCGGTGTTGACTTTCCTAGTCTCCCCTAGCCACCTTCAAGCAATCACCCTTTCACCCACAGTAGGTTGCTACCCCTCAGACCTTCCTACCTAAAAAGTTGGGGCCTCCACTAGAAAGGACTCATATTTGTAATCATCTTTTTTTTTTTTTTTTTTTTTTTAAATGGAGTCGCGCTCTGTCGTCCAGGCTGGAGTGCAGTGGTGCGATCTTGGCTCACTGCAACCTCCGCATCCCGTGTTCAAGCTCCAGCCCCTGCCTCAGCCTCCCGAGTACCTGAGATTACAAGCACCCGCCACCACACCCGGCTAAATTTTTGTATTTTTAGTAGAGACGGGGTTTCACCATGTTGGTAGGGCTGGTCTCGAACTCCTAACTTCAGGTGATCTACCCACCTCCGCCTCCTGAAGTGCTGGGATTACAGGTGTGAGCCACCGTGCCCTGCCTGTAATCGTATTTTCAAAGGTGCATTTGACTAAAAAGACAATTTCCATTTCAATTGTTGTATAAAATAAATGTAATCATATTTTCAAAGGTGCCTGTGACTCTAAAAGGCAATTTCCATTTCAGTTGTTGTATAAAATAAATGTAATCATATTTTCAAAGGTGCCTTTGACTCTTAAAAGGCAATTTCCATTTCAGTTATTTGAAATGGAGCTGTGATTATCTGATATTTGTGTTGATGGAGGTTGGCTGTAGAGGGACGTTTATCTCTGATAAGCATTTATTGCATTCTTTTTTCTTTCTACAAGGAACCAAAGAAGCCATGCATTTTTAAGATTATTACTATTGCATGACACACAGCCTTTTCAAGAGGAGACTTACAGATGTGGCAGCCAAAGATTATGGTGCATGCTTCTTTAAAATCTTTAATCTCACTTTTAATTTTTGCTTCTAAACAGACTCCAATTTAAAGTAATTCAGTTTACAGTAATTTTGAGACACCTATCCATGGGAGAAGACATAATTTTTTGCCATGATTTCAAAATATTAATGTTTCTCAAGTTTTGAGAGGTGAACCCTCTTATTTAGGGTAGTTGTACTGGTACATCATTTTTCATATGAAATACAACTGGGAAAAAATGTAGCATTCGCCAATTCTTTTATGATTGAAAGCATTTTACTTGGCAAAGGATACAGATGTTCAACACTGAGTACAGTGTCCAGAGTGTGGGCAGCAAATTCAGGTGTGAGAAAGGTCCAGTTTTAACTAGATAAATGTGTTTGTTTTTATTATTTTGTCTTCACTTTTAGTTGATTTGTTCATCACTTGATAATGTATTCATGGTGCTGTGTTGCATCAGCTACAAAAAATCACCCAGCTGCAGCGTGATTTTCCGGCTACTAGAATTTTGAATGTATGATAATTAAAATCCGTATACTTGAGGAATAATTAGACCCTAAGAATCCAGAAAATGTTAGCCTTTAAGCTATTACTGACAAATTTTCCGAAGTGTCTGTAGAAATCTAAATTCATTATTTTATAAAACCTTATAAAAATCTAAACAGAATGGAAAACAAAAGAGATGGAAGTCAATATACAGAACTAGATTAGGAAAAGTAGAAGAAATTGATAAGGCAAATTTATTAAAAAGTGTGTGTGTGTCGTATTTAAAAATACAGCAAATGTTTCTTTTGGTATTGTTTTGAGCACAGCTGATTTTTAACATTTTCTTTCATAACACTCAGAAATCATTAACAATTGTTTACTCATTTGGAATGGGTTTTTTGTTCTTTTTTGTTTGTTTCTTTTCGTTGCTTTCTTTTAACATTGGTCGTGTTTCACCCTTTTTTTTTTCATCCCCCCCCCCACCCTGTCTGCAATCAACTTCTTCATTCCACTAAGGCTGGGCACAGAGTAAGTTTCTTCACTTAGCTCCTACTAACAATGGTGGTTGGGTGGCTGATTACTGACTGGATTTCTCACCCTTTTAAAGTCTGTTGAAAGCAAGCAACTGAATTTCCATGCTTTGATTGGGTTGGTTCTTTATTTGAATTTAATAAGACTGCCATTTCCAGGATCTTTTTTTTTTTTTTTTTTTGAGACGGAGTTTTGCTCTGTTTGCCCAGGCTGGAATGCAGTGGTACTATCTGGGCTCACTGCAACCTCCACCTCCTGGGTTCATGCAATTCCCCTGCCTCAGCCTCCGGAATAGCTGGGAGTACAGGCGCATGCCACCATGCCCGGCTAATTTTTTATGTTTTAGTAGAGATGGGGTTTCACCATGTTGGCCAGGATGGTCTCAATCTCCTGACCTCATGATATGCCCACCTCAGCCTCCCGAAGTGCCGGGATTACAGGCATGAGCTACTACACCCAGCCTTTTTTTTTTTTTTGGAGACAGAGTCTTACTCTGTAGCCCATACTGCAGTGCAGTGGTGCGATCTCGGCTCACTGCACCCTCTGCCTCCCAGGTTCAAGCAATTCTACCTCCTCAGCCTCTTGAGTAGCTGGGATTACAGGGGTATGCCACCACGCCAGGCTAATTACGGGGTTTCATGTTGGTCAGGCTGGTTCCAAACTCATGGCCTTGTGATCCTCCTGCCTTGGCCTCCCAAAGTGCTGGGATTATAGGTGTGAGCCACTGCACCTGGCCAGGATCTTTTGCTTTCTTAAAGGACTTTCTAATCTATGTCTATCCCAATTTGTCAAAGTGTGGAATTTGGGCAGGGATATGCTTCAAAGTATGACACATGTTTTGTGAAATACTTTCCCATAACTTTGTCATCAGCAGGAAACCAGAGGATTCTGTCCTAGTAAGGATCCCTACTAATTTGAAATCATTTCTGTGTGATCATTCATACAATTGTATCTTTAGACTGCTGATAGTCTTGAGTATATTTGGGGAAAATCCACAGTACTTTATAGAATTAGGTCATCAATCATTATAAAGTACCACATCTTACTAATGTTCTTATTAATGTTCTTTCTGGTACATTCAGATTGAACAGTTCATTCATTATTAGTACCAAACATTTTCAACCTGTTATAGACATATACCCTTTTATGAGTTTGGGGTGGTGGTGGTGGTTCTACTTTTTTTTAAATATAGAAATCTATTATTTTTACCTTTTTCTCAAACCCAGCTTCCCATACTAACTATGTACTTCAATCCATATCAGAAGGAATCCCCCTCTAAAATGAAGATTGTTCTGTATCCAGGTACTTTTATGTTGGTTACCAGTGAGGGTGGAAACTTCATAGTGGTTTTTAGTTTTACAGAGGGTTTGTCCACTGAGATCTACATTGAAACAATATAGGCATAGAACAGATACCTGCTGAAACTCGTCTTTATGAAGAAGAATCTTATTTAACAATTTATAAGTGTGCTAATTTTATAACCTTGTGTTACTTTGAGATTACAAGCTATGTCCTGATAATTCTGTGTCCTGATAATAGTTCCTTTTCTTTGCAATAATTTTAATTTTTGTTGCAAGATGAATCAAGCTTCTTTTGGTAATAATTTTAATTTCACGCATTTTGGGTTTTTTAAATTAATTTTCATTTACAAAGTCTGCGGTCGCAAAACTATTTTGTTTTATCCTATTAGCTATTTAATGATTTCTTTGATAATATTAAAGAATAGAAAACTTTTAAAAGTACTTAAAGGGCATATACATTTATGGGTGAAATGTCTGTGAAGGAAAACATCTTGTATAGAATGAAGGTGCTTATACTGATCAACATAAAGAAATTGATTACATTGTCCTTTGGAGGACAGATTTTTTTTTTTTTATTTTTTTTTTTTTTTTTTTGAGACAGAGTCTTACTCTGTCGCCCAGGCTGGAGTGCCAGTGACACTATCTCAGCTCACTGCAACCTCCACCTCCTGGGTTCAAGTGATTCTCCTGCCTCAGACTCCTGAGTAGCTGGGATAACAGGCGCCTACCACCACACCCGGCTAACTTTTGTATTTCTTTTTTTTAAAAGTAAAAACAGGGTTTCACTATGTTGGCCAGGCTGGTCTTGAACTCCTGACCACATGTGATCTGCCTGCATCAGCCTCCCAATATGCTGGGATTACAGGTGTGAGCCACTGCGGTAGGCTAGACAGATACTATTTTTAAATGATGTTTCTAACAGTATTTTGTTAAGTGGCTAAATTAATGTTATTTCTCAAATCTTGAAATTTTTAAATAATAAAATTTTACAGGGTTGGGGTTTATATTCTTTTATATTTCATAGCAAAATTTCCTTTTGTCATCTGAGACTAATTTGCAACTCTAAACCACCTTATGCTAAATTTATCACTCATTTAGCTGATCTCTTTTTTGTTTTAATGCTCTCATGTACATGAAAGATTATGAAAAGTTATTTTTTTAAGTTGGGTAACTACACCAAGGGTACATGAGCAATTTAATCCAGACCGTAAAAATATGACAGTGAGGACTTCTAATAATGAAGGAAAGTAAAGATATCAAGGAAAGTAAAGATATCAAAGATTATAATTCCAAAGCACGCCTTTACCTAATGAAGCTGAAACACAGGCTGTTTGTATATCTCTGTAATGTATACCTAATAGTTTGAAGTAACAAACATGCCAAATTTTCGCTATTATAATTCCAAATAGTTATCAATCTAGTACACATAAATTACAGAAATAATTTTTTTCTCTATTCACAATTCCCTTTAATAATGTTTCTGGGATTAATCATTTTCATATTACAACAGCAGAAATATGAATTACCATATCAGTCTTTAAAAATGCCACATTCCATAGGGCCGAGTAGTATACTTTTCATTTTATAATTTTTAAAATTCAGTGTATTCATAGGTCTCTAAATCACTTTAGAATGTTTGATTTCATTCTTGGTAAATAGAATGATTACCTGTATTATATATACACAACTATTTATAATAAAATAAGATTGATTTAGAACAAAGTACATTACCATATGTAAGTCTGTTTAAATTGTCATGTTACAATCAATGATGAAACCTATCTGAAAGCTGATAACCTGAAGAAAAATATGTACAGATTCAGCTTCTGAGATTAAATAGTCATGATAGGAACTTTATGAATAATTTGTTCTGTGGGATTTGGGATCTCGTATAAGACTTAAAAGGGAGCTTACAGTTGGAGACTATTTTGTTTTTACATTATGTTTAACATTATGCTTTATCTTACCTTGACACTTTAAAGTTGGTGTTGGTATTAGGAGATCTGCACATCCCACACCGGTGCAACAGTTTGCCAGCTAAATTCAAAAAACTCCTGGTGCCAGGAAAAATTCAGCACATTCTCTGCACAGGAAACCTTTGCACCAAAGAGAGTTATGACTATCTCAAGACTCTGGCTGGTGATGTTCATATTGTGAGAGGAGACTTCGATGAGGTGATGTATAATGTATTTCCCTTTCCCTCCTCAAATATCTCCTGTTCTTGATTCTTACTTACATAAGTTTTATCATTAGACCCAGATTTCTCAACTGGTAAGGTTTTTTTTTTTTTTTTCTTTTTCAAATGTAAAATTACTATTCATGCTCCTCCCTTACTATTTGGAAATCACTGATTTAGACTACCTAGTAAACATATTAAATACTTTGTCTTACTAAATAGATACTGAATAAAAGTGGCTTTGTTACTGTTTTTGGCTGTCATTTAGTTTATAAAGTTTTTTTTTTGTTTTGTGTTTTTGAGATGGAGTCTTGCTCTGTCGCCCAGACTGGAATACAGTGGCACAATCTCGGCTCACTGCAACCTCCGCCTCAGGTTCAAGTGATTGTCCTGCCTAACCTCCTGAGTAGCTGAGATTATAGGCACACGCCACCACTCCCAGCTAATTTTTTATATTTTTTAGTAGAGATGGGGTTTTGCCATGTTAGCAAGGCTGGTCTCAAACTCTTGACCTCAGGTGATCCTCCCGCTTCAGCCTCCCAAAGTGCTGGGATTACAGACATGAACCACTGTGCCCAGCCAAGTTTATAAAGTTTTTATTAGGAACTTTTCACTGCCATTACCTCTACTACTTTATTCCAAGCCACCGCATCATTTTCTTGTATTCCAACTTCCTAATTCTACCCTTGCTCCTTACAGTTTATTCTCCAGCTAGCAACCAGAGTGATCCTTTTTAAGTGAAGTAAGATCACACTACTTCTCTGCTGGCAACCCTCCTGTGGCTTTGTTTCTCAATGGTTAACTTTATAGGGGATGAGGGAGTTTTGAAGAAGTGATAGAGCTGCTCTATATCTTCCATGTGGCAGTGCTTATACAGCCATGTGCATTTGTCAAAACCCATCATACGATACATGAAAAAAGTATGATTTGCCAGGCGCGGTGGCTCACGCTTGTAATCCCAGAACTTTGGGAGGCCGAGGCGGGCAGATCACCTGAGGTTGGGAGTTCAAGACCAGCCTGACCAACATGGAAAAAGAAACCCCGTCTCTACTAAAAATACAAAATTAGCCAGGCATGATGGTGCATGCCTGTAATCCCAGCTACTTGGGAGGTTGAGGTAGGAGAATCACTTGAACCTGTGAGGTGGAGGTTGCAGTGAGCCGAGATTGTACCATTGCACTCCTGCCTGGGTAACAAGAGCAAAACTTCGTCTCAAAAAAAAAAAGAAAAGAAAAAGTATGATTTTACTCTGTGTAAATTATGCCTCAATAAACCCGACTTTAAAGAAAAAAAGGAGGCCGGGCGTGGTGGCTCACGCCTGTAATCCAAGCACTTTGGAGGCCAAGGTGGGCGGATCACCTGAGGTCAGGAGTTCAAGACCAGCCTGACCAACATGGTGAAACCCCGTCTTAAAAAAAAAAAAAGGAGCTCTGGAGTTCCCGTTAGTTAATAATAGAATTTTTGGCAGATTACTTCCCCTTTCTGATCCTTGGTAAATATGGCTGAAATGGATGATTTATTTATTTTGAGATGAAGTCTTGCTCCGTAGCCAGGCTGGAGTGCAGTGGCGCAATCTCTGCTCACTGCAACCTCCGCTTCCTGGGTTCAAGTAATTCTCCTGCATCAGCCTCCTGAGCAGCTGGGACTACAGGCGCACACCACCATGCCCAGCTATTTTTTCTATTTTTAGTAGAGTTGGGGTTTTACCATGTTGGCCAGCATGGTCTCGATCTTTTGACCTCGTGATCCACCTGCCTCGGCCTCCCAAAGTGCTGGGATTACAGGCGTGAGCCACTGCACTAGGCCTGGAATGGATGATTTTTAAGACACCTGCCAGTGCCAACATTGTATGATGTCACATAATCCTGATTCTACTTTGAAAATTTTGTTTTTCTGGGAATATATAGAAGCTTTTCATAAATTAAACTTGGTTGGTGTTCTTTAATGGGGTTCCTTAAACCTAACTGAAGGAACATACTGTTTTTGGATAAATTAAAGGTGACATGGAGGTGAAAGATGGGGGAGATAAAAGGAAAGGACAACCAACCTTGTTGTGCCTGTTTCATCATCCATAAAGTGGGAATCATAATAGAACCTTCTAGGATTGTTTGTATTAAGTTGGTATTTGTAAAACCTCTACAGTAGTGCCTGGCTCATACTAAGTACTATATCAGTATTAGCGCTCATTATTTTAAGCCATCTATAATAAACTATTAAACTATTAAGGCTATATTAAGCTATCATGAACACACCTTAACTTACATGCCTTAGGTAAAGGGAAATCACAAGTTTTCAGGGAATAATTATTCTTTACAGCATGCACAAAAGAACCCATATTCTTTAGAAATAAACACAGTAAAGGGATTGCATGATAAATTCCAGTTTTTATTGAGTAAGTTATGTTTTAAATATAGTTGTAGCTTTAGAGACTGAGAAGAAATAAAATATTTATAAATGTGGCTGGGCACAGTGGCTCACACCTGTGATCCTAGAACTTTGGGAGGCCAAGGCAGGTGGATCACTGGAGGTCAGGAGTTCAAAACCAGCCTGGCCAACATGGTGAGACTCTGTCTCTACTAACAATACAAAAAAATTAGCTGTGCTTGGTGGTGAGTGCCTGTAATCCCAGCTGCTTGGGAGGCTGACACAGGAGAATTGCTTGAACCTGGGAGGTGGAGGTTGCAGTAGGCTGAGATCCTGCTACTGCACTCCACCCTGGGAGACAGAGCAAGACTCCATCTCAAAAAAAAAAAAAATTATAAATGTGTATGTCGTGGAGCACTACATCAAAACATCATAAGAGATTGAATGTTTAAGCAAACTGACATTTTTAAAATACCAGCATCTCTAAAATACATATTTTCTTATGTCTCTTTCTTTCATTAGAATCTGAATTATCCAGAACAGAAAGTTGTAACTGTTGGACAGTTCAAAATTGGTCTCATCCATGGACATCAAGTTATTCCTTGGGGAGATATGGCCAGCTTAGCCCTGTTGCAGAGGCAGTTTGACGTGGACATTCTTATCTCAGGACACACACACAAATTTGAAGCATTTGAGCATGAAAATAAATTCTACATTAACCCAGGTTCTGCCACTGGGGCATATAATGCCTTGGAAACGTAAGTAGTATAGAATTTGGGAATTTGGGGGCTTTAGTAAAGTAATTGCATGTATGACATTTCATAAAAGAAATGTGTCTGGGCACAGTGCATCATGCCTGTAATACCAGCACTTGGGAGGCCGGAGCAGATTGCTTGAGCCCAGGAGTTTAAGACCAGCCTATACAATATGGTGAGACACTGTCTCTACAAAAAAAAAAATTTTAATTAGCTGGGTGTGGTGGTGTATGCCTGTGATCCCAGCTACTCAAAAGACTGAGGTGGGATGATCACTTGAGCCCAGGAGGTTAAGACTGCAGTGAGCCGTGCTGGAGGCTCTGTACTCCAGCGGGGGTGACAAAACGAGACACTCAAAAAAAAAAAGGTAAAAATAAATGTGACCTTTTTGAGACAAGAGTCTTGCTCTGTCACCTAGGCTGCAGTGCATTGGTATGATCTTGGCTCATGGCAACCTCTGTCTCCCAGATTCAAGTGATTCTCATGCCTCAGTCTCCCAAGTAGCCGGGATTATAGACACCCACCACCACGCCTGGCTAATTCTTGTAATTTTGGTAGAGACAAGGTTTCACCATGTTAGCCAGACTGGTCTCAAACTCCTGACCTCAGGTGATCTGCCCACCTCGGCCTCCCAAAGTGCTGGGATTGCAGGTGTGAGCCACTATGCCTGGCCACCAGTGACTATTTAAATAAATCTAGCCATTTTGGTAGTCGTCTTTTGGTAACTGTTCATGTGACATGTAACAGATTTCTCTTTGAATCCAAATTGTCATCTTAAATTTATGTGCTGCTCTTTGTGGTACAAAACACTGACATTATTTGTTTTTTCTTCTAGAAACATTATTCCATCATTTGTGTTGATGGATATCCAGGCTTCTACAGTGGTCACCTATGTGTATCAGCTAATTGGAGATGATGTGAAAGTAGAACGAATCGAATACAAAAAATCTTAAAGCCAGGCCTGTCTTGATGATTTTTTTTCCATTGTCCTGTTGAAATCAAGTAAATAAATATTTACGAGCCACAAAATTGTATCACCTTTATAATATTTTGCAGTAAAATATAATACCATCTTCTCTGTTAATACATAATTGCTCTAAGCTTCCTGTAAACTATAAGAATATGTTTAGTTTACAGCATATGGATTCTATGAAAAAATGTCCATGACACAGTAACTGGTCACTTGTTAAGAAAAATTTATCCTTGTAAATATCTTCAAAGTTGGTATTTGGAACTTTATTCCAAAAGTAGTGCATGTGGAGAAAGAATCTAGACTTTTGTGTATACATTTTTCTCTTCTCCAGTAATAAACAATTACCTTTCATTTATACTTTCTTGATAACCTGCTGTTTAATTTTAAAAAACATAAAAATGAGAAACCAAGTGAAACTTCAGATATAAATATTGAAGTGAAATAGATGATTTTCAGAGCTCTTTTCTCTTACACTATGTTAGAATGTTGAATTCAGATTTTATTTGCTAAATAATATACCATATCGACATTAAATTAGCAGCGATTCTTCAAACCGTTGCTACTCCCATTTTTCAAGGTTTAATAACATTTTTAAAAATATAAATTTAGGGGCCAGGCTCACATCCATAATCCCAGCACTTTGGGATGCCGAGGCGGGCAGATCTCCTGAGGTCAGGAGTTCAAGACCAGCCTGGCCAACGTGGTGAAACCCTTTCTCTACTAAAAATACAAAATTAGCCATGGTAGCATGTGCCTGTAATCCCAGCTACTCGGGAGGCTGAGGCAGGATAATCACTTGAACCCAGGAGGTGGAGGTTGCATGGAGCAGAGATCACACCATTGCACTCTAGCCTGGGCAACAAGAGGGAAATTCTGTCTCAAAAAAAAAGAAGTTTAGCAAGGAAGCACACTAGAGTAATATATAATATAAAGAATGCTCTTGTTAGTGTAAGTGCCCCCAACTTAATCCAGTCTGAGTCTCCAAGTATTTATGTGGCAATTTCATAATAGGGCAAATGTGTATTTACATTTTGAAGTTATATTCAAATAGCAAATATTTATTGAGCACCTACTTTGCAAGTCGGAGCATTATCTCTGTCAAATGCTATTCTGTATCTGGATATTTCAAAGCTTTCCTTAGCCTTCGCTCTGTTGCCAGGCTGGAGTGCAGTGGCGCAATCTCAGCTCACTGAAACCTCTGCCTCCTGGGTCCAAGTGATTCTTCTGCCTCAGCCTCCCAAGTAGCTGGGACTACAGGCAGCACCACCACACCCAGCTGATTTTTCTATTTTTAGTAGAGGTGGGATTTCACCATGTTGGCCAGGATGGTCTCAATTTCTTGACCTTGTGATCCACCCACCTTGACCTCCCTAAGTTCTAGGATTATAGGCGTAAGCCAGTGTGCCCGGCCCTCATAAGATATTTCAATATTGTTGTTTTAGGACTTACTGTGAACAGAGAAAGAAAAAATTATACAATGCATTTGTCACATTTAAAGAAAAGTAATTCAATGTTGAATGCAAGAAAAGTTTTAATTATATCTAGCTACAAGTACAAGTATACTACATGTGTATTTTCTTACATAAATGTCATTGGTACATGGAACTACATCAGACCAGTTACATTGTTGTAAAAATTTCTGAACAAAACAAAATTACTTAATGATTTAAGGAATAACAGTACTAACCTAAACATAGAGGACACAACTCACAACCCCTTACCCTCAACTTTGGCACGAATTCAATACACAAGACAAGACTGTCAAGTTAACATCAGATGTTCTCCCTGTTCTTCAATTGACATTGATTGCATAAATTTATTTAGTAAATCTTCTTCCTTTTTTTCTTCACTCATGTATGATTCAGAATCATTTGAAGAAACTGAAGGAAAAATAAGAATTTTTAGTTGTCTGTTTTGGAAATAAAGCTCTAAGTACAAGATTCAAAATGACCTGGCTTATTAATAAGCCTGTAGTAAAGACAAATTGCCTGCAATTTTCTAGGCTCTTAGTCACCTCCTCTTTGCCCCAAATTTCTTACTCTTTTAAGATACAAAGTACTGTATTCTAGCCATGTTACTGTATAGCAAATTATGTTACTAAGTCCTATATTACCACTGATTTTTAAAATCTTTTTGTTGGGGGAAATTACAGTGGTCAGCTATATCTTCAGAATCTCTGCATTTTCCTTTAGTTCCTTCTCATCTCTTCCCCCTACCTGGAATTTCCTCTAACTGTTCCTTTTGGAACCTCACTTATGCTCTCTCCTGCCCTTTCCCTCATTGCTTGGCTAGGCATGGTACAATACTTATAGCAGAGGTGGTTAACACTGTCATACAGTGAAGGGATATAAATTCAGAAGGCCTATCTTCCCTACTTGTTTTGTTTTTTGAGATGGGAGTTTTGCTGTTGTTGCCCAGGCTGGAGTGCAATGGTGCAATCTCGGCTCACCACAACCTCTACCTCCCATGTTCAAGTGATTCTCCTGCCTCAGCTGAGTAGCTGGGATTACAGGCATGCACCACCATGCCCGGCTAATTTTGTATTTTTCGTAGAGATGGGTTTCACCATGTTGGTCAGACTGGTCTTGAACGCCTGACCTCAAGCGATCTGCCTGCCTTGGCCTCCCAAAGTGCTGGGATTACAGGCATGAGTGACCGCACCCAGCAAACTTCCCTATTTCTTACCCACCTCCCTACTTCACTATACTAATAACTAGGAAATTACTTAACATGATTTAACATTATCAGTTCTGAGGAACACTTCTGATCATTCGGTCTGTCTTTCCTTTTTCATTTTGTAACATTTTGTACTTGTGGTAGAAGGATCCTTTATGCTGATCCTTCCGAAGTCTGGATTTGTTTATGTTGCAGCTGTAAAATTTTGATAATATCACCTGCATGGCTTGAATATCAAACAAAATGATATACAGTAGTCCCTTCTTATCCGCACTTTTGCTTTCCAAGGTACAATATAAGCTATTTTGAGAGAGACCACATCCATGTTTTATTACAGTATATTATGTGTTCTATTTTATATATTGTTAATCTCTTTACATGCCTAATTTATAAATTAAAACTTTATCATAGATATGCATTTATAGGAAATAACAAAGTAGCCAGGTGCAGTGGCTCACACCTGTAATCCCAGCACTTTGGAAGGCCGAGGCGGGCGGATCACCTGAGGTCAGGAGTTCAAAACCAGCCTGGCCAACATGAAGAAACCCGTCTCTAGTAAAAAATACAAAATTAGCCGGGCATGGTGGCGGATGCCTGTAATCCCAGCTACTCAGGAGGCTGAGACAGGAGAATCGCTTGAACCCAGGAGGCGGAGGTTGCAGTGAGCCAAGATCACACCATTGCACTCCAGCCTGGGCAACAAGAGCAAAACTCAGTCTCAAAAAAAAAAAAAAAAAAAAAAAAGGAAATAACAAAGTATATATAGGGTTCAGTACTATCTAGGCTTTCAGCCATCCACTGGGGGTCTTGGAACATATTCCCTATAGATAAAAAGGGCCTATATAAGAGATACAGCCCTTTGCTATACTATACAAAATATGCTATACGAAATATGTTGTTCATCCAAAAATAGCACTACCTCATAAAAGAAGTGCTACTGGTTGAGAAAGTCATGTTTGTGGTTCTGGGTTCTAACAAATTCTCTACTAAGTCTCTGACCTTGGTATTATAAATACCTTGAATCTCACTTCTTTGAGCAGTATTTTTTTTTTTTTAATTTGAGACAGAGTCTCACTCTGTCACCTAGGCTGGAGTGTAGTGACATAATCTTGGCTCACTGCAGCCTCCACCTCCCAGGTTCAAGTAATTCTGCCTCAGTAGCTAGGATTACAGGCACCCGCCACCACGCCTGGCTAACTTTTGTATTTTTAGTAGAGATGGAGTTTTGCCATGTTGGCCAGGCTGGTCTCAAACTCCTGACCTCAGGTAATCTGCTTGTCTTAGCCTCCCAAAGTGCTGAGATTACAGGCGTGAGCCACTGTACCTAGCCCACTATGTTCTTTTAATTGTAAGCATAAACTATATTTTATGTTTGATTTTTTTTTATCTGCAACAATAAAAGCAAATCATATTCTAAATTTGTTAATATCTGCCTAATGGAAATGAAATTGTATGTGGCATAGTAGTTTTAAGCATAAGATCTTCAAAAATGCTTATTTTTAAAATTTCACATTTACCTGGTTGCATGAACAGTTTCCTTGGTCTTCTAAAAATCTTCAGTGACTTACATCTTGTTTTAGATACATACCCAGTTTTTATCCTATAAGAAAGGACAGTATCTTAATTGGAGCCAGCTGCCTAGTGCATGTGGGAGACCACATAAATTCGTTTTATTAGCTGCAGCATTACCAAAAACACCCTTTCAGCACCCAGATTCTGTAATTTCTTAATCCTGACATGTAAAACTGCTACAGTGCAATTTCAGTACTCATGCTTCTTAATCTTTTTCCTCTCCGTTACATAGTATTCCCCCGTGCAAAACCAACCATATGCTTCTCCTTTTGAAAGTGTTTGCATTATTTTGAGGTTGAGTGGGAATCACATTGAAAAGGGCAGTCATCCATATCTCTATCTGAAGAAATGTTTATAATTCTACAAAATACATTCTAAAAGAAATGCAGTAAAGAGAAAGTATGAAAATCTCTCTCTGCTTCTTAAAAGTCCAGCCTATTCTGAATTTAGCAAAGTGAACATATTAGGAAACATAAGCATTATCACTTAGCTACCCTTCAAAAGAAATAGGGAAGGCTGGGCACAGTAGCTCACACCTGTAATCCCAGTGCTTTGGGAGGCAGAAGTGAGAGTAGCCTGGCAAACATAGACACTGTCTCTACAAAACTTTTTATTTAATTAGTAGGGCATGGTGCTTTTGCCTTTCGCCCTAGCTGCTTGAGAGTGTAAGGCAGGAGCATTGCTTGAGCCCAGGAGTTTAAGGATACAGTAAACTGTATCACACCACTACACTCTAGCCTGGGTAACAGAATAAGACCCTGTGTCTCAGGAAAGAAAAAAAAAATTTGAACTGAGATACATAGATAACGTTTTCTGCCTTTTACACACTAAGAAACAGACCCTTCTTTGTTTCTCACTGGTCGCCAAAGGGAATGCTGTAGGAGCATTTCAGGTGCAGATGCGGCTGCAATATCAGAAGGCCCCAAGTCCTCTCTCTCCAGTTGGTGTCGCCACGTAGTGCAGGGGTAATGCTGTTTTTGTGAGTAACGAGAGCTAAGGCGGCTTCTGTGATGAGTGAGGACACCTGTCATACAAATCACCTCTGTTAAAAGACCCTCTCAAAAAAAAAAAAAGAAAAAGAAAAAGACCCTCTCACTAATTGTAAAAAA